AGTAAGCCATTTGGTCAGCTGCATTCATCTTACCCTTGTACAAATCCAGATGTGAAATTTGGAACTTTATTGAAGCCTGTGTTGAAGCAATCTTTCTCAATTATGCATTTGTTAATTGTAGCCAATGCTTCTCTACCCTTCCAGGTGGGGTTGTCTCCACACTACTAGAAATTAGGTCATGTCAATTATAGTGGCCAAAGAAAGTACTTGTGGGCTTGGTAGCGTTTTATGAATGATAAAATCTAAAGCTTCATCGTTTGGAATTTTTACATGCAGAATGATTCTTGGAACATGCTCCAAAACTCCTTAAATCCTCCTAGCAAGTGTTTCTTCCATTTGCTTTAGTTGCATGTTGATAATGAAGTCTAGGTTCTCCATTTCAGTTAGTATCTCCCTATCATCTAGGCATTCCATATCTTTACTTTAGGTTCTTCACATCTGTCAATAGGGTTGTCAAAAAAGCTCGTCGTTTGTGAATAAACTGTCTTCAGCTTATTAAGTAGCTCGTATTTGATCCATTTGTTAAGCAAGCGAGCCAAGCACGAAAAATCTTTTTGAGCTCGATTTATAAATGAGTCGAACATGAACAAAGGTTTGTTCGTGAGCTGAACAGAAACCAAGGTTTGTTCATTCTTGTTCGACTCATTTTGACTTGAAATAATTAAATAATAAAATAATAAAATTTATTTATATCAATTTTATATTAATTTTTTATATTTCATTTAAAAAAAAATGATATAAGAGATTTGGGTGGTATAGATATAATAAGTAAACTTTAGGTGTTAGATAAATACATAAGAATAGAGTGTTGTGTGTGTAAATCTTCCCAATGTTAAATAATTTTTCCATAATATATGTACATCTAAAATGTGTTAGTGTTGATACCTAGGAGATGTAACAGTCTAGAAGAAAGGAAGTATGGCAAAGGAGGGCACTTATCCGATTGGATGTAGCCACTGAAGGTCGGCCGACAGGGCAAAGGAGGGCACTTATCCGATTGGATGTAGCCATCTGAGCTAAAGCTGAAGGCCGACCGACAAGGAGATGGACAAAAGGACTATTGATCTATTTGAATGCAAACCAATTGGACTAAAACAAGATAGATAAGCATCTGAGCTAATCAATACAAGAAAGCTGACCGAAGGCAACAACCAATATCACCAGTCATCCCACGGACGCTCCTGAGGATCATGGACCAAGAATTGAAACTACAACAGTTTCTTATAGTCATTTCACAGAACCGAAGGCAACAACCAATATCACCAGTCATCCCACAGACGCTCCTGAGGTTCCTCATCATGGACCAAGAATTGAAACTACAACAGTGTCTTATAGTCATTTCACAGGACTCTCCTCTTTGAAGAACAAATTGCATATTCGGTTATGGTGATTCACCCTCTCCCTGATAATCTAGCCTCGCTCCGCCGACTGGAGCTCCTTATTCATAGATCGAGGGTCGACAACCAGACTAGATCAATCGATCGCAAAAGCTTATCTGATCAAATCAATCCTGTCAACTCGAAGCCAATCAACAAATCTTTGAGATCCCAGAGAGATTCAAGATCCCAACATTGGAGATCTATAAGGGCAGGATTGATTTAACCAACCACATAATCTCATTCGATTTGATTTAGTGTCCACTGAGGATCACTGACGCGCTGAATTCTTGCCTCTTCTTTACAACACTGAGGGTGTCGACCCTCAGATGGCTTAACCCATTGTCGTCGAGAGTGATTGTGTCGTTCGTTGATTTTAAGTGAATCTTTTTGGCACAATTTTTCAACACCCAAAATCCTCATAAAAGCTCATCCATCACGCTCTTCTAGAAGGAGATGTTAAAAGTACGAGACATGGGGCCCGTAATAGCTCTTGCTGCCCTATCTCAAAGGTTGTAGGAAGGACTATTATGATACGAATTGGGTCTGCAATTACCGAAGATGCTAGTTGAGCTGTTAGAATTATCCAATAGACACATCAACAGAAAAATACAACTTTTACCCCATATCATTTAGAACCGAGCGAGTCAACCACCATTCACTTGACTGTGGAAAAAGTCGGGAGCCTCACTGCTTGGCTCGAACTCACCTCAAAGGCACTCAGATTACCAAGCAACGGACAAAGTGTACTGGCGAGGGAGTCATGCCCTGATATTCTGACTAGCACCCAACTTGGCAATGAGATTGTGTTATCATTTGAATTCTTGTATTTTGTTGTCTAGTTCATAAAAATGGTCAAGTAATTTTTTTTAAATGCACATGTTCTTAGGTCCGGCTGACACCCATGGAACTTGAAAAGTTCACGCAAGGAATCGTCATAGTCCGATCGACACTCAGAGAATTCGAATTATCCCGCCAATTTTAGTTTCATTCGAGTGGCAAAACCAACAACGACGCATGTTGTCCTATCGAAAAAGATTTTCAAAACTTATAACGACACAAGACGTTTGATTGATAAAAGTGTTTCCAAAACTAATAATGACAAATAAACATCTAATCAATAAAAATCGTCTAAATTTAACTAATGGCAACAATTAAATGTCTGATCGACAAAGTGCACAAGAACCGACCTACAACACCTAAACATCAATAAACTCCCGTCTCTTAACTCAGAACGAGTCAAGCTCTGGTGGTGGTTCACAAGAACCGACCTACAACACCTAAACATCAATAAATAACTCAGAACGAGTCAAGCTCTGGTGGTGGTTCCAAAGTTTCCTACCCATTATCGATAAGAACAGTGGGTAGCGTACAAATCACTTCAACAACATGTCTCTTATGGTTACCTCCACAAAGGCTACAACAAAATCTGCTTAGTACGTCTGTCACAACTTGCAGCCCATCCAAGGTGACAACTTAATTAAGCGACGAAGTCATAGGAACTGTAAGACTTGAGCCTTGCGGTAACCCAACAAAACTAACTAAAGATATTCTTTAAAAAAGTAATCCATGAATCATCACAAACAATTATCATAAGGAAAATAAAAGATGTGGTAGAGGTAAATTTGAAAACTTTGTTTTATTTCATGATTAAAAAATTATAAAGAATTTCTTTTTTATATATAATTTCCTATGCTTTTCTTTATAAGTATTGAAAAATAAAAAAAATTCTAAGTCACTGGTGAAGCCGAAGTCAAGTCAAATGTTTGAAGACCCTCCATCGTCTTCATCGCTTTCATCCTCTTCCTTCTCTTCCACCTTCGAGTCCAATAGCAATACAACAAATCTGTTCAAGTCGGCCTACTTGAAGGAGACAAGTTTTGTCGATCACCAAGGACACTCTAACTCTGTGTTGCACAGCGAGGGCATCTACTTGCTAATGGTGGGAAGGAAGCTTAGCAAAGAAATCTTCTGACACCTTCACTGTCGCCATCTTTTCTTTCAGGGCCTGAATCCTCCCTGAGCAGCCGACAATGACTCCAACAGTTTAAGTTTTTCAGCTTGAAGCTCCCTCGCCCGCTCTTTGGTTGTTGTCGCACACTCTTCATTTGATATCGCTCATATTTCCGCTGCCCTCACCCGATTCTTAGCCTTGACCAATGTTTTTCCCCAACTTCGCCTGGATCTTCGACTGAAAGTGTGAAGCTTCCAATGTCATCAAATGATACCGGTCGATCGTATGAACCAAACCTGAGAGGCTTTATTCATGAAGGGTCTTGTTGAAAGCTCGAGACCAAATCACATTGGCGATAGTACAAGGATATAGAGTCGCCATAGGGGAATCAGAGCACTGGTCCCTTCTCAAATTGATCAAAGTAAATCGGTTGTCAAAACTAGTGCTCACCTTCGCCCTCTCGGCTTGCATCAGGATCCATGTAAGTGAGGAGCCTTTCTGCTTTGTCCGGGGAGGGGGATAAGGTGGGACACTCGTACCGACAACTAGTGATTTTCCCTTCCAACGGCATACCTCCTCTCCTTGGTGTCTGGTTCAGGCTCAGGTTCAGTTTCGGTCGGGGCAACAGGAGAAGGTCGATTGGCTTCACCCCTCATTGATAGCTCAATGAAAGTTGGAGCGGCCAACCAAGAGGTAACTAACCTTGATTCCGGTCTTTCTATTTAGCCTCCCCCTCGTTAACAACATATCAAAAAGCTTCTAAACTCCATGCTCATAAAAGAAAAATTTTGAAGGAGTGTTTTACATAGATGCCACATAATTCTTACATATTTGCATATCTAACAACTCAAGTTTGATACTTATTCATTTAAATCCAAATCTTTAACAGTTTAAAATATCGCTAATATTAAGTATTTTAAGGTAAATTACATCTATTCATAGACAAGTAAATACTTAAAATTAGTTATTATATATGTAAATACATAAGAATTATGTGATATGTATATAAATCCTCCACATAGAAATAATCTTCTGCCCGAAGACTTCAAGAAATATAAAGAATTTTTTTTTAATTTTTTTAGAAGTTATGCATCAAACCGAATATTTCTAAACTCTATGCTGCCAAAGGTTCCGCCATGGGGAGTAAGCCAGCACAAATACAATAGGTTGGTCTTTACAAATAAGAATGTTTAGTTGTCATATTTGTAAATAATTATAATTATGTGATATTTATGTAAATACCCGAAAGAGAAAGGGAAACTAAAGTTTATAGCTTGATATGTAAATATGAAAGATTAAGGGCGCGTTTGGGAAAGCTTGTGAGGATAAACAACTTATCCTGAAATGCGGTCTGCGGGTCGACCCGTGGTCTACGTTTAGTGTAAAAATGGAACCGTGTTTTCGGATAAACAGTCAAAACGCGCAATTTAAACGGCACCGTGGCGTTTTCAAAAACGCCACCACACTTATAAGCCGCCCCAAACGGGTCTTGTGTTAGATATGTAGATACATAATCATTGTGTGGTATTTATGTAAATGTTCCCAAAGGAAAAAAAAAATCAAATATCACGATTTCCAAATGTTCAGATTAGTGTTAGCTTCGAATTTATCATAATTTGCAGTAGATTGCAAGCAAGAAATTCCACCATCACAAGTAAACGAGATCAAACCTTGACTCTCTCCAAGCTGAAAGCAGGTCCAACTATTCTGCGATGCCTCGCCCACTTCTCCCCGGTGAGCCCAACCAATCCCTCGCCGAATAGTTCCCGGCTCCCAGCGACAAACGCTGGCTTATCGATCGTGCCGCTCGTATCGGTCATCGCAGCCCTGACGACCGTCGGATCGCCGATGGCTAGACGCGGCTGAGTGCCAAACCAGTAGAGGAATTTGCGGCCGTACAGCGCTGACCACTGGGCGCAGTGCGGCGCCGCCAGGCC